GCGCGCACCTTTCGGGGAGCGAAACATCTGACACCAAAAAGTTCGGCGAGCGAACTGCGCGCAGGGCTCGGCAGAGCAGAGGCCGACGCCGTTACAGTAGTAGGTGAACTAGTATAGGTAAACTTACCTGAAACTCTCTATTTCTGTTGCTTTATGATATTGGGGATAGGCTTTCTGTAAGATGTCTCCCATCTGTAGGTGGAAAACAATTATTATCTTGAAAACTATATAGATACTGACATTATCGATATATATATATATATATATATATATATATATATATATATANGTCTCGGACAACCGGACAACGCTTATTTCGAGCACTGTATAAATATTATATATCTTCATATATATATAATATATATATTCTATATATATTATTATCATGGTGACACAGCACACTCGCAGCGGCGAGTGCGAGAGCATTCGGCGTTAGTTTTTTCATAGGTTTTTATGAAGGAAAGTTGATATACATTGACGCAACACTGGAACTGTAATTGAGGGGTACGGTAGTAGGGCCTATTTGTGAATGTGCGTTCATATTATTTTCAGTTTTTAGTGACTCTGTCCCAAGTGCCTGTGCATGCTGGCTGCTGCGCTGAACACTGACACATAAATATATAGCAGGTAGGAAAGCGTGCTGCCAAAATTCGCTCGACGCTCGCTTGATTTCATACAAATACAACACAAATATTCAACCCTTCTACTCCATCTTTGTTTCTATTTGAAGAACATTGTTCACTTGTTATAAAAACACTGTTTGTGGCAGCTGTGTCACGCGAAATCACACAAAGCTTGACGAAATTCTCACGTTTGCTCCCGTTGCGCAGTTTATGTAAATATTTGTCGGAATCAGGAAATGCCCACTGGCGCTCTTCGTGACCTCATTGTTGCGCTGTAACGCTGCAACGATTTTGCAACGCTCTACTGGCGGCTTTGACGAGGCTCGTACGGGAGTTGGAAAGCAGCGTGGTAGTTTCCCAAAATGCAGTGCCCTGCCTATAGCTCTGTACTTGCAGCCATTTACATAAACTGCGCATCGAGAGCGAACACGAGAATTTCGTCAGGCTTTGTGTGATTTCGCGTGAGACAGCTTGGTTACGAACACAGACAGTATGTTTTTATAACAAGTGAACACTGTTCTTCAAATAGAAACAAAGATGGAGTAGAATGGTTGAATATTTGCGTTGTATTCGTGTGAAATCAAGCGAGTGTCAAGCGAATTTTGGAAGCACGCTTTCCTACCTGCTATATATTTATGTGTCAGTGTGCAGCAGCTAGCGTGCGGCGGCCAGCGTGTGACAGTGTGTTGCAGATGAGCATTTGGATGGCATTTACAGGAAATTGTCGGCAATAATAGGTGAAATAGAGTAGAGATATATTAACACTTCTTCACGTAATGTTTACTCCTTTGTCGGAGAGATACGAAAACACGTTTGTTCGCTGCGGTGGCACTAGCTATCTCACTGATGCTGTTTAATACTATTACTGTATTAGACAGTACTCCTCCCCTAAATTGTTTAAATCTGACGATAAAAACTCTTCTACTGTTAGTCTACCATAGACAAGTGTTGATTTATTTTACGTTACAAACGTGTATGACAGCTCGTTTACTGTTTCTGACCATGTGGCCCAAGCCTAGTTTGGCCAAATTTACGAAAGTGACGATATGGGGGTTTAAACGCTACTCTAAGCCCTAGCCCCTAGTTTAGCACCCCGATTAGTTTAGCACATATGCGAAAGCACATTTGTGGGATCCCAAACTATCATTGATCTGCACTTGACTCAGAACGTTTCAATAATAAAATGATGGTAAATAAACCCGAAATGTATTTACTACCGAAGTCTTAATGTTTCTCTATTCTCTTTAGCTGGCCCTTTATCCAGTTATCAGGCGCTGGAAGAATATTGTCAAAATTATACAAATCTATAGGGCATAATTTATTGGTCAGTATGCAGGTGTGTTTGAAAACAATGGTGACGGTGAACCGTTAGAATGGTGATTTATATCACAACACTAGTATGTGCGTAGGGAATTTTCGGTAATCCTCATATAGACCATATTTACTAGGTTCCTAAGGTGAGACTGCCTGTTCACCCATTACCTTGGGACCCTGGCACCCATTGTCAAAAACATTACAAATAGTTATGATATTGAAAATACCACAACCTTTGAAATGAAGTGTTATGCAAAAGTTTGAACCTTTTGGACTTGTGCAGGGGTTGCAATTAAGGTCAGTAAGCAACAGTTTTGCTGCCTACAATAGTTAATTTACTGCTTGTTCCCAATGGGGTTATTAGTAGTGGTAGTTTTAGATGGTTCTGGAATTAAGAAAATTATTGGTTCATCTATTGCATATTATATATATAGAATATTAAAAGAATGCCACTGCTGCAGGAACAAGTAATTTCACAAAAAATATTACCTTAACAATGTCATCAGAACTTGATCTTCAGGTATCTTCAGAACGTATGTATTATTCTTGTTTATGTAAATTAATATAATTTACAAATATTAAAATACCCTGTATGTTATGAGATGCTGTTCTGTTGCACATGGTATCAAGTCGGATAACGTTATACAGGTTATGCATGTGAACTGATGTTTTTCATCTTTCCTTTTTGTCAGCGTTCAAAAATCCAGATCTGGCTCTATGAAAACGTTAATCTTCGGTTAGAGGGCTGCATTGTCGTAAGTATTCTAGAGTATTTAAAGTAATTATTGCAAGTTTTCCAGTGTTTTCCCCACTTTCATGATACCTACCGTTATTGCTTGAGTAACAGCAATTGTCTAGAGTAACGATAAAATGCCTTAGAACCTTCGTATTCACCAAATCATGCACAATTACAATTTTGCGTTCTGTTTTGTTTACCGTTGCCATCTCTCGGACTTTCTCGCAGTAGCCGCGAGACATCTATCAGTATCAGGGTGCAGTAATGCATGATACCGTCGCACCGTAGAAATCCGGTCAGAGTGTAAAGACAGAGGTTCATACTAGCGTAACAGCATTGTAGTACTAATACCGCGTAAAGTCTGTTATTAGAGAAGCTTGTGGATTACCAGTCAGATAGTAACAAAGTAATGACAATGACAGAAAGTGCTCTGAATTATTGACATAAACAATAAATAATATTTACCACACAGAATTGCACGCCCATTTGTTTTAGTTATGCACTTTGTTTGAAGGCGCCATTTGTATTTTGGATAGGCGGCATACGATAATATTCGGAGCTGGTATGATGTGGTAAAATCCATTTTTCTATGCTATAACTGCATAAAATCTTAGTGTTTTTAATTTGGGTCTAATCAGTGATGTTTCTGCTGTCAGGTGAGTCTAAATTCAGCTATAATTAGTTTTTCGGCCAACTTCGTCATGACGTCATGACTGGCAGCAGGCATCTCATGATACATTCGATTTTGGAGCCGAACGCTATGCGCATTGGGAATCTGTACGTCACAGGTCAACAGAAATTGTGCTCGAAATATCTCTGCTCGTCACTTTGAAATTTTGTAACAGGTTATAATAGTTTAATACAGAGTATTGTGATACAAAGTCCCAGGATAGCGGAGAAAGGTTCGTGTTTAGAATAAACCCAGTTTGGAAGTTGTAGTCTCGAAAAACGCACCATAAAACCGCCCTGAGTGAATCACTCGTGGGGTGGGGGGGGCTCCTCCAAAGAAAAGAATAGGCTTGCGTTGTAACTCTTGTTGGGTTACATTATTGTATCTCACAATCCACTATTGGATTTACAATTACATGTTAATGCAAACCAGTACCATTACTATAAATTTGTACTAATATTTCCTATGAGAGTCTGAAATGCATAGAAGTTGCAGAAAAGGTGTAGATTTTAATACCTTCTCATATGTTTGCGTACTGATCTGTTTTGATATCTGTTGCAAGGGTTTTGATGAGTACATGAATCTTGTGCTGGATGAGGCTGAAGAATACCACGTCAAAACAAAAACCAGAAAGCATCTCGGTAGGTTTTGTGAGTGTGTGCCTGCGTGTGGTGTCAGACTGGTTTTGTAGGTTACTCTGTATCACAGATTGTTATAGTTACACCATATATATATGCATATGCTTTCACCATTGAATCTTGCGCCACGCGCATATGCTTTCATAGTTGCACAGACTATTCTTTCTTTCCTGTAGGTATTCATGTTTAAATTGTATTACATGTCATATAGTTCAACTGTCTTCTTTGATTTGGTTATGTAATGTTGCATTGTATCACAGATGCTCCTAGTTGGTTAGTGGCATAGGTGTTTAAAGTTTCCCTTTCGCACATGTTTGTAGTCACCCATTGTGTGGCTTTATACTCGTGTAGGAAATTGTGTGGTCTCCCATGTGGTCTCCTCACCCGAATTTGATGAGTACTATGTCACTTCCGATGTTTGTTTTCAGGACGTATTCTGCTAAAGGGAGACAACATCACACTCATTCAAGAAGTAGAACCAGGAGCCAGTGCTGGAACCTAGGTAGCACTAATCTCTGAGAGATGTCTATTACATGCAATTCTCAAATCACGTGTAAATTTTGTGGGGTCACAAACATGCTTAAAGTCCAAGAATCTGAAATCCGGGTAATTGATTATTAGACAAATCCTTCATCCCTTTATCATGGAGAACCGTATATGGTGGATGATAATCAGCAATTTTTATCAGGTACTCCATTATTTGGTCGAGTAGCATGGAAGTAAAACACTTGAGTACAATGTTAGACTATTTGAACAATTTTTATTGTTGTGGGCATTACCAAATTTTACTGGTAGAGTCAGTCTTGTGATACACATATGGCGTTATCTGTAGAAAAACGTTTACGATGGCTTCATTTCTACAATTTGTACGATTGGCTACAGTTTTCCCATATTGTTAGATATAATGTGAGTGAGGTTAAATTGTTTCAGTAGGACATTTAGTCTCGGATTTAACACTATCATTCCATTAATGTTCCTGAAAACCTAACAAACGATATCACTTCATCGTTCCTTGCTCGAAAACATCATGTTTTGTAATAAAACTTGTAAAATTGATTTTGTCTGCTATTTTTATGAAGGTTATTTAACTTCTTTATACAAATTAGTAATGAAGGTAACATGACGTAATATTCAAAAATTTATATTTTATTATGTGAAAGAGACACAACTCGTGCACCACTACGAAATTGCATCGGTTTTTGATTACATTGGTTCTACTAGACATGTAGACATTCGCCAAACAATACACTAGCAACACTGATGAAATTTATTGAAATGTCAATTGTAAGAATGAAATGTGTTGGCAAGAGCTGAGTGTAATCCAGAGGGCATTATGATGTGCTGTAAGGCAGGGTGATATGTGGTAGGTGATGTTTGATCTGTTAACAAGAATTCACCCTCATTGTAATTGTTCCAGTATCTATTATTTAAAAAATGCATCGGTGTGTTTATGTGCCGTGCATTCCCACCGTTTATAAATTTAGAATGTAATTCAGCATTCACTAGCACACACACAAATACTATATGCGCACATGAATATAGTAAGTACGTCCCGAGCGCGAAAACCTTTCATATAAAAACTACCAGTTACATGGTGATAAACCAACGTACCATTTCTACGATACATGAAAACATCGATGAGCGAGCACCATTGTTATGTGTGCCTGTGCACGAACAGCGAATACTGCTGATTGTGCAATAAATTACATCAAAAAGCTCATCTCTTATGTTAATTTCTTACACGCTGTATACAAGAATGAATGAGGTATCATTTACACGTGTGTTCCGTGCGTTCGTGTTCACGTGTCCGTCCAGTATGACACATCCATCCTCTGCATTCACAGGACCCTTCTCTTTAAGAATTCCTGGACCTGCCCAGGTTCACCATGTAATCCCTATCAATTCTAGGCGTTTCTTGTCTTCGTTTCTGTTTTATATTTTCCACTTCATTTTGTGCGTCACTCTTTTGAAGATCGAGGTTCACTATTGCCACTCATGGAAATCATACTGCGAAAGGCATCCGCCTGTATTAACTTGTAAATATGAACTCTATATTACTCTAGGAATTTCTATTTTTATTAGACAACCATTTTATTTCACCTTTGAACCAATATCACTACGTGGAAAGCAGTTTTCCATAAACATTGTTAACGAGTGTAACCTCGTTTCGTGTCACTGTAACATTCTCACTTGGCAACAACAATAGACGTATTCACCGGTACGCAGTGCCGACTTTAAAACCAATTAAGACCGTGGTGGGCTCAACAACCCTTTATTACACTGCCCATACTACAGGTGCAAAGGTCATCTGATCAAGCAGATGTACGTAGGCCTGCTTTTTGTAAGCGTATTCACTTGGAAATACATCGACAAAAGCCGTGAATAAACGGCAAATGTCTTAGTGAATTAAGTGTTTTATTAACTCCAACACATTTATTTCCAAAAGTTCAGTGATCAGTGAGTGACATTGCGAAATTTCACCTTTTCATCATCAGTTATGCAACAGATGACTACCTGTACAAGCATCTGTATCCCACATCCATGCACACACGCGCACATACTCACTCACTCATAACATTTTTACACTGTCATAACAAGTAAAAGCAACAGTTTAATAATATACATGATGGTCTCATTAAATATCCTCATAATGGTAACCAGGTTGATAGATTAGTATGTTTGATAACTGATATGAATATAACAATTAATAATTACCTACCAAATGGAAAAGTGATGCAAAATAAAGTAAGAGGTTGGAAGCTTTCACCCCCATGGGGTCAGTTCGCCAGCAAAACTACTACAGCAGATGTTCAATTCTCAGAAAGAAATGTTAAAATATTCGGGCAATTGAACATGGCTCACTAACCATACCTGCTGTCGTATGCAGTTGTCATTCTTGGACTGCACTTAATTGGATAGTCCTGCCCTTTATAGGAAATATATTATTTCCTTGGTCGGTGTACTATGTCCAAATGTTACACACTGTTATACCAACTGCATGCTGAAAACGTAATATAGCAGTTCAGCGTCCCCGACTGGTTTCCTCTTTCACCTTGCATCTCTTTATTGTCAGAAAACAAAATCAAGCTCGTGTTTTGTATTTATAATTATCCACTGAAGTTGCTGAAGTCCATTTTCAACTTTATCGACGGTGCACTCTGCTGCTGCGAGATAAATTTGTCCTGTGCCTGCTTGGTGGCGCTAGCCGCTGACCGCTGCTGGCTGAACTTCACTGCATCTTCTAGTGCAGTGCGCACGGGTGGCGCGCCGGCCATCACTGCACGAAACTGTTCCGGGAACTTCGGCCCGATCTCCATTAGCTTCTGGAGAGACCGTTCGTGTAAAAGTTTCTGAGCACGACTGCTAGATGGCAGCTTCGAACTGTCAAGCAGGTACGATACCAATAGGGGCACGAGGATCTTCAGGAGAGTAATCCCTATAAAAAACAAAAAAAAAAAACACCTGAATTGGTGACACTGTGTTCATATCTCCGATCCGGTACTAGAGCCAAGCAAACTAAGTGAATCCATGATAGTATATTTTATTAACAACAGATAACACAAACTATTGACAGACAGATGAACACGAATGCAACAGATGAATTATGGCACGACGTCTCGCCAGTAAATCGATTTGTCAGCGGCCGACAGCGAATGCTGAGAAGTAATAACAGCTGCAGGTTCACACTTACTGTGTTCCTCCTCGGCCAGGTGTACCAACGTCTCGACTACCTTCGTCTCCTCTACAATCACAGCCACGTCAGGTTCGCTAAGCCCGTTCTTGCTCAGCGAGGCAGCGTAGAGATGCTTCAGCACTAGCGACGCCAACCCGTGGATGTAGGGCGTCGCGACAGCACGCGACGGATGCTGGAAGATCGACGCGACCGTCTGAAGACACTTTATTCTCACCTGCAAAGAGCAATCAGAAAGAGAAGTTAGTGCAATGCAGTGCTGCTTGGTGGAACAATCTTATGTTTATGCTGGTGTCAGTATAAATGCTAATTGTGACGAGACTGAACTCTCATTATGAATTGGCGATTCCAGTAATTGCTGTAGATTGTATGGCCATACAAACACATACGAGCTAACAACAGAGCTTCAACAGAGGAAACAACTGTATATGTCAACTGACGTGCCGTCATAGCTAAGAATAATGCCATAACCATTTTACCACGTGGTATTTAGCCTCCAGAGCCTCTCGGAACACGTTCACGCACTTGTCGTGCAAAATCGGAACGCAAACGACCTCTGGTGGGCTGGAGACAATAAAGACAGCGAGTGCCAGCATGGTCACTGTCTCATCCATTCCCGGCCAATTGGTCGTGGGATCTATGGCAAATCAGAAACCGTATAAATATTATCACACGGGGTGATCACAAGTATTTCATACACAGCGCAAACGGTTGCACCAGACAATTTCCAGACAATCTTTAGGAATATCGGGCAAGGTAAGAAGATTTTTAGAAATCAGTCACAGATTTTTGGTATGCTTAGCAGACATTCGTGTTTTGCACCAGTGGTGAAAACTCCACCACTCGAATCGAAGTGACCTCAACATAGACTTCAATGTCGTTTTTCTAGGCTAAAGTGACTCTAGAATGGAAGTAAAAAAGAGCAATCCCAAAACGGACGAGTTATCTTGTCACCACCAATTATTTAACATCATTGTTATCAACATCATGCCTAATAAAATCATGTGCGATAACACTATGTTTAATAACATCACATTAAATAGCAGACGGTCATTATGCGATAAGTTCCTCCAGCTCGCTGTCATCTTGTTACCACGTGCGATCGCTAACCTGGCTCAGCAAAGTCGAGGATGGTCGTCAGGCTGCTCCTGAGAAGAGCGACCCAGGTGTCGCCACAGCTGCGATCACGCGCCATCGGATGCGCGGTGAGGTGCTTCAGACTGTGCAGCGCCGACGTGCAGGCGGTAGAGGGCGCCACTGTCTCCTCGATCTGCCGTGGCGACGTGTACTTGAGCACACCGGTCGTTAATATCAGCACTGTCGGAAGAACGTTGAGGCTGCCTGCGGAGATCACATGCAGAAATCTCGATTAATGCTCATGGAGACAGATGTAGTTCTTGCAGACGTGTCGCGTACGACACAGCCGAAAGGTTCGGCACACAAAACAGGGAAGAGGGGCTGACCCACAATCAGACCTTTGCGCTAGCCCTCATATAAATAACAGTAATCATTTCGATATGTAAATTTGCCACCGTGATATAGTGGAGATGGCAAGAATAGCAGAGGAAATATCATACATCAACAAGCTCTACCAGGTATACCCCCAGGTAATGCCGGAGAGTGATTTTGAACAAGTTTATTCAATCATTTTACTCTTACACACGCTATAATGTTCCGTTGACAATTTTACACAATACTGACAATAGCGCTCAATAATTATTTCCCTTAACAGATGGTACACCGATGCCATAGTGTACTGCAATTGTGAAAACATAAATTTACACTGGAGAGTACAAGAACACTAACAATTTAGTTCTTGACATCTTTATTTTGCACCTAGTAGGGTCGAACTCGGGGATTTAAGCCCTCTAAGTGGACGTCCCGCTGCTCCGGGGTCACGGATAGAGGGCGCCGGGATCACGGCTAGAGGGCGTCGGGATCACGGCTAGAGGGCACTGGGGTCACACATAGAGGGCGCCAGCGTCGCACTTACCTTGCGGGGTGCACAATGCTGGCAGCTCCGACATGATGTGGACGGCGCTCCCGACGAGCTGCTGCGCCTCGGGGGTGAGCGGTGGCGCCACCTCTCTGCGCGGCTGCTGCTGCTGCTGCGGCGGCGCGGCGGTGGGCAAGGCCGGGTTCAGCTGCGGCATGTGCCGCACGAGCAGACACATGCACACCTCGAGGAACGCAAACACGAGCGATTTGCCGATGACGATCTCCCCGCTCTCGCCGCCCTCTCCCACCAGGGGGCTCTCCAAGTCCTGATTGGCTGGTAGGTCTGCTTCTGTTGCATAACAACAGCAGGCATATGCTTAGATATGCAATCATGGTTACTCCATAAAGATGATTGATGAGTTCATTACCTCTGCTGGTTATTCACCAGCAAGATTTAAAATCGATTGACAGGCGGGTTATGTTCAGTGTGTTATAGCACTATATAAATAAATAAAACCACGTATTATTAAATTAATATAGAACAACAACATGAACGTTACAAATATAAAGGATCCAATTAGCCAAATGCGAATAATGTTGGGAAATGAATCATCATTACCCTTTGCTTTCACGCGTTTCGCCAACTCCAGGTGTTCCTGGGCCGTCTTCAGTACCTGCCGGGCAACGTCAATCACCAATGTCTGTGTGCTGGCCAACTCTCTCGTCAGTAACAGCCTACAGAGAGAAAAGTACGTGTTAACAACGTAACACGAGAGTAGGACCAGATTACCACTGTGGTACTTCTATCAATTAGTCTTTTGCTTGCACCCCTTTATAAACATTTTGGTCTCTTTGAAATAACTCTCTGGGCAACTTTCGGTTATGTGATATGTTTGATTCTATCATTGTGTCGCATTTTAATTGTAACAATTTTTGACCAAGGATCACGTTATTTTAAATTTAGTACATATTCTAAAGACGGTTTTTAGTTGTAGTGATATAATTTTACGAACCAACATTTTAAGTGATATCTATGTCTTACCATGGGACATATATTATTGTAAATATCATTAATTTCAGTTTTATACTGCCTGATGATATCTTGTTTGCAAAATTTATTTTAATTGTAACGTTGTTAACACTAGTTATATCTATCTATCTATCAATCTGGCACATAATTCGAGTTTACGACAAACCAATAAAATCAGAGCAAACTGCCTCTGATTGTGACGTCACGATGCCTTTCTCATAACTGCAGGCCAATATAAACCTACGGTCTATCATGCTCAAACGAAAGCTGCTCTCCCCACAACACAGCCTATGAGGAAGGAGCGTGACTGTGATTCTCACCTGTGTAGAACGTTCAGCAGCTCTACGCCTAGCGACTGGTCCTGCCCGATGACGCTGCGTGACCACGGCTTGTCCAGCAGCTGGTGGAGTGCATTGAGACACGCCATCACGCACTCGACTGGGTGAACAGTGCGAGGGCTACACAGAGCCTCCACGCAAATACCTGACAGGTAGAAACACGGAAAAAACCACCTGAAGCTCTGACAACAATGCCGTAGGAAGACGCTCTTGCTAGAGAACTAGTAAAAATTGGTGACACTGCTAATATGTGCATGCTTAGAGGCAGAATACTCATTGAGAATCATCCAATGTCATGATGCCCAACTATAACTGGATGTCCTCCAGAGGTAACTAATGGCAATGCCACAGCATGCTGCCTAGTATAATACGTGTACAACATGTGGGTGACGTAGACTCTGCACTAAAGCCACAGCATTGATTTCTGCAATTTATGTCACTACAAGGTACCTATTGATTTCTAACTCTGCACAACTTTTTAACAGATGTTTTGATGAGTGATGTCACACCTTGGATCAGATGGAACCGGTCCGTGTTAATCTCGTCCGGAACTTTTGTCGCAGAAGCATTCGCTGCTCCCAGCCCCAAGTTCGTGCTGCCCTCTACATCGACCTTCTCCCGCTCGGCGGCCACATTCTCAAAGCCACCATTGTTCAGCCAGAGGGCAGCAGCGTGGACGATCGGGTACCACGCGTCGCGGTACAGCGGCCGCGTCGACTCGATCGTCTCTGCTTTGTAGAAGGCGCCCCCTTCGGGTGGGAGTTGACTTGCGAATTCAGGCGGCAGAGATAGGAGGGCGTAGTCCTTGAGGGCAGCGAGCCAGTGCTTGCTGAGGGACACAAGCTCTGGGGTGACGAGACTCAGGAGGCTCTCACCTCCTGCAACCCCCTGGAAGTCCGCAAAGTCCTCGTCTTCCTCATCATCCACCGGCGTGCTCACTTTACTCTTATCGGCCTTGTCCGTTTCCATGGCGACGATGTAGACCTGGATAGCGAAGCGTGTGGCTCGCGATGAATTTCAGTCAAAGCCTTTTACGTGACAGGACATGATACGATACTATCTACAGTTCTCCTAGTTATACGTGCGTTAGGCACATGTATGAAAAATTGGACGAAATATTTTGGAAACACGGCAGATAAAAAAAACCATGGAAGATGGAAAAATAATCGCCAACAGGAATGCACTGAACGTAAACAGTTGTATATGCACGGCGTTGTTTCTGCTAACAACGGCTGACTTTGCAGATTCAGATTCCAAAAAAATGTCAGCACTGACTGTGCGTGCGCACGCACGCACCTCTGCCCAAGCCTTCAGCACAGCTAGTTTCTCCATCGTGGCAGCAGTCTCACTGTACAGCTGAGAAGACGAGCCCTTGCCAGACTTCAGCTTCGCGAGTGACGAGACGAGGAGCTGGTGAACTCGACGAAGGTCGTTGAGGTCGCACGCGACACCACTGCCGATCCATGTGCTACACACCTGCAGCGGGAGCGAAGAATGTAGGCAGACGTCGTAACACCAGTACTAACGCAGATTTCTTTCCGACACCTCGAAACCCAAAGCACGTGCAGACTGATATAATACGGAATAATATGTTCCCAGCCCATCTTTAAATACAGTAAATTTTAAAAAACAGTACATATGTATGTAGACATCAAAGAAATGATATGGCTACCCTACTGATTAGTAAAAATTACCATTGACTATTAACAAAAAAATCTTTTTTACAGGAATATATTTTGTGTATTGATAGCAATTCTTTTTTGATACTTCATTACAGCCTTGCATCTTAAAAGTGAGACAATGCCACGAACAATGAAACCAGACCTGCACACATTAAAACACGACTGTCTATAAGCAAAACATAGACAATGCCACCTCACGCGACCTTGTGTGAGGCACTACGCCATCAAGACAGTATTCAGTACCACACAATGATAAAATATACACCTGACACGCGGCCGCCGTCACGTTGGGTCCGGTGTCTGGAGAGAAGGCAGGGCGCAGCGCGGCACCGACCTGTGCCTGGAACTGCTCCAGAATGAAGTGACCCGGGAACTCGGGTTCCGGAACACGGGAGAACGTCGTGATGACGTTCTGTGAAAACAAGAAAGGCAATGTTCACCACCGATTGCGGTCACCGTGGCGATAAACACCAATGAGGATCACAATCACCTACAATACAACGTCTAATTACAAGTTCTCGAACCACTACTGTTTCCAGGAACAGAATAAATAAAGACAACATAGCGCCATGCAAACATTTAAAACACCAACAAGTAAAATATAACTATAATGTACCTATACCCCAATTACATGAACAGTAAGTGTTTCATATGAGTGTGTATCACAAGTATGCAACAGGCATGGTATATATAATATATAAACGGAAATAAATCTTTAAACAGCCAATTATATGAGAAGCACTGTAACCGAGTGTGGTGTCACTTACAGTTACAATTCCTATACAGAACTTCAGTATATTGAAATTATTAGCAATGAGCATTGGTGAGATGATTTATGCTATGTAGCAGACCTACCTGTAGGGCCTTGAGACCAGCCATCCTGAGCTGGTCACTGTCTGAGGTCGCAGAGATGAAGGTCATTCGCACCAGCTCTGGCAGATGCAGCACGAGGAAGTCAGCTGTAATCAAAAAAGGTGTATATAAAGCTGTTTATCCAAAGTGCTGGCACAAACTGGTGATGGGTAGGAGCAGGTTGGTAGTATAGGAACAATGAATGTACTGTCCATATAGGGCATGTATGATTTCCTGCCTAAAGCAGATGGTTTGTCATGTGTTAGCGAGAGTGCACCGTAAATCATGTTAGCTACATTTACAGTATTATCTACATGAATACAAGATGTCAAGCATTCGAAGACACAGCTGTAGCATCACAGGCATATAAGTGATTACTAGCCCATATAAGGCATTATTATACGAGAAAAATATTCAATATGTGATCATGTAGCTAGCTTTACTATTAAAGGTGTGAACATGAGATATCAAACATGTGAACATACACCTGTAGAATTACTGCTGTCATCCTGAGATTTCAAATAAGTGAACGTACACTTATATCATTACAGTTGTTGGCACGAAACAGCAAGTACGTGAATGTATATTTACACTGTTACTGATGTGAGCACAAGACATCACAACACACAAAAAGTGCACATACATTTAACATTGTGCTGCTTGTGCTTGCGAGCCAACGCAAGGTCGAAGTGTGCAGCTGAGTCATCCTTGCACACGGCGACGATCTTCTGCATGCAGTCGACGGCAAACACACGAGTCGGCCATCTTGCCGCCACCAAGGGGTGTGACTCTGGCTCTTCGCCAGCCTTGAAGGTGGCTTCAGCACCTGCATCATCGTCTGCTTCCTCCCTAGCAGCAGCAGCTTCCTCCTCGGGACTCAACATGAACTCTGAGTGAGAGATAATGAATCAGTGCAGTCAGGTTGGCCAGAAATTCGAATCGATAACTTTACTGTTAGATTCGTGTGCTGAGCTAGCTGGAATGTGTGTTATCACTGAGCATGGAGTCTGGATCATTTCTCTGTACTTTAATGCACGTTTACTGTTGAACATGGCACTGTGACAGAGTCCGTATAGTAATGCTGATATTCAAAGATGTATTTGCTCATAAAGTATTCAAACATGTACAGTACATAATGTATTCAAATATGTACAGCACATAATGTATTCAGCTATGTACAGCAAATAATATGTTTATACATATATACAGCATGGAATGTATTTAAACATGTACAGGACTTATATCACAACATGTAAAGTTTTACTTTAAAGTAAATAATTTGTTCAAGGCAGAACAGCAGATGACGTATTCCAACATGGTGGCACATAAGTGCACGTGCAACAATAGTGGCATGTATTCTCACCAGAGGACGCTGACAGCACCTGCTTGCACAGAGCGAGCCAGCGCGTGAGGTTCTCCCCAGCCAAGCTCTGCAGCATGCTGATCAGTGTGTCGTGGATGTCCGACACCAGGCTGCGATCGTTCTCCGTGTCCAGCATTGCAAACAGCATCCCCTCGAGTCCGGTCTCTGCACGAAGACAAGCAGGACGATAGCAGCACTCCCAGTGGCGAGCTTACATCACAGATCAACCCCCCCCCCCCAAGCTCCCCACAACCACCCACACCCACACACACCGAGTAACAGCAGCCCAAATAACATTGTGATCTACAGAAATTACACAAATTTATCTTCAGCATATTGCTATCCTGCCCAAAAATGGAAAACCACACAAACTTGTTGCCATACAAATTATCCAATTTCAGGTGCGACATTCTATAGCTGCCCAACTGCTACGTCCCACATCTCTACTAATCCACTAATCTCTACTAATATACCCATCTCTACTAATTCACTAATGTCTATGAACCAACTAATCAATCTACTAATCTTCTACTAATCCACCAATGTTGTTTTCACAATAAAAAATACAAATCAAAATCGATTACATGATTACTTGAGGGATTCGGCAAGGGTATGGATTGTCCATCAATGGGCGACTGAAACCACTGAACATTGCCCGTATGATCTGCTGCTTACCGGTGATATCGATCTTCCAGTCCTTGCTGTCGACTAACGTCATTGCATACTCGCACACCTCTGGGGCCTCTCTGTGTGAGAGCTGTCTCAGACAGGCGACGGCAGCACGCCTCAGCAGTAGGTGGGGGCTGGAGAGTGTTACCTGAATCGCAAACACTACCTGTACAGCCCACACACACAAAAAACCCCACACCACCATGATCGAGTTCTACACCTGCATCGGTCACGTTACCAGCAACGAGAGAGAGAGGAGAGTGAACAGACTGTCTGACAGTAAGTACACGGAGTTTTCTACATCACTTTTATGTGGCTATTTGCACTTACTCATACTCCCTGTAATATAGCATAGAGGTACTCACGTAACACTTAACCCGGGGGGCATGGTGGACACATCAAGCAATACATTGCTCATTATGAAGGTGACAGTAAGGGTTCGGTCAACTGAGGTAACCACAACCTGAACTCGAACCCTAATCTTACGCCCGACCTCACGGTGGGCTCTGTATTGGACTCGCTGGGCCACCGTACTGTGTGACCTACTACTTACGCAGAGCTTTGGTACGAGGGTTGACAGGTTGACGTGTCGGGGAGCGAACATGTGCAGCTGCTGCAGGCACGCAATGGCTTCTGCCTGCACCAGAGAGTCCGAGTGATCTTGCATCACAGCGCATGCCACCAGGAAAGAAGATCGAGCCGTGATGATAGGAGATGTATTCGCTGCAGCAAGAGAGAGACAGAGCAGCATGAGCTAGCAGCATCTACTATGCAGTATCTACTATGTGGATCTCTACAGGCTGTAATTAGTTCAGACCATCACCCTATACTGTGTCAGTCGATCATGCACGGCAGATATGCACCTCGACTTCAATGGAATTTTGAATGGAAATGGCAATTTTTTGATCTGCATGAGTACACACATACCAATTTTTACTTTACATGGCAAAAAAGTTTACTTTTTGATGCTTTTGAAGTATTTAAGTTTACTTTTAGATTGCATATACACACTTCACTACATCACCATTGCAGGTTCGATAGTGACCCCAGCGATCATACACATGTCACCATTGCAGGTTCGATAGTGACCCCAGCAATCACACATACATCAGCATTGCAGGTTCGATAGTGACCCCAGCAATCATACACACGTCAGCATTGCAGGTTCGATAGTGACCCCAGCAATCATACACACGTCATCATTGCAGGTGACCCCAGTGCGGTGTCATTACTGCGATCGTGCACGCGGCGCTCGTCGTCCCCGCCTGCCCGCAGCACTCACCCTGCAGCTCAGGTCCGACGGTGGTGATGAGCGCCGACAGACACTTGCCGAGGCACTGGTGCACGTCCGTGTTCGACGGCGGCACGCTCAGCATCAGCCGCAGACACAGCGATAGCGTCGGCTCGACGTAGCCGCGGAACATCGGGCCGCCCGAGTCCGCGATGAGCGCGAGCGCGTGCAGCGCCCACACCTGTGCGATAATGAGGTTCAGCGTGTAGGTGAGGGTGAGGGTGGAAAGAGTAGTGGGTGGATGAGTGAGAAAGTGGGAGAGGGGGAAAGTGAAAGGGAGACGGCGAGAGAGCAAGAGGAAAGGGGCAGAAGTGAGAGAATGAGAAAAAGAGATCAGGAGAGAGAGGGTAAAAGGGATCTAAAGCGAGAGGGAGAGAGGGAGAAGCAGAAGGAAAGAGAGAGCAAGAGGGAGAGGAAAGGAGAGACTGGAGTGAGAGAGTGAGAAAAAGGGGTTTAAAGAGAGAGGGAGAGTGAGAGGAAGAGGGAGAGTGAGTGAGAGTGGGAAAGGGAGACAGGAGTGATAGTAAGAAATATAGAGCAAGAGAGAAAGGAAAACGGGATGGAAAGAGAGATAGGGAGGAAGGGAGGGAGAAGAGGGGAGAAAGATAGAGAGAGAGAGAACCATGCCTAATGCGATGTACTGCCATAATACATCAGGTGTAAACTGTGAGGCAGGAATGAGCCCCAGCAAATTGAATTATATAGCTGGAATTGTTACCAGTACGAGGTGCAAGTGCGACTTGCTTACTACTGTAACAGGTAAGATGGTGTTACCTGTACAGCAGGTGAGGTACTGTCCTGTGCTAATGCCAATAGTATGCTGACACTGGTGTTGAGGTGCTGCCCTGTGCTCAGCCCTCCAACATACTTGTGCAGGCATCCAAGTGCTAATGAGTGGCCAGTCCTCGTAACAACATCGCGTGCCGATTTCAACCTAAATAAACAGAAAACCACATTGAACAAACAGCCTTGCGATCGAGATGTGTTACACGGTGTTACTTGCTGTCAGGTCTGTGCCAAGTTATGTAAATCTAGACTAGGTGTCAAAATGATTTGTTTTTGCTATATAAGCATTTATCTATATAGAAGCATGTATTTGCAGCATATTGCTTATTCATATTCGAGAGGATGTTGAGTTTGGTACAGCTATGCAAATCAATGATTTCAGCCATTTGTGTATTTGTAAATGGAGTTCCATCAGTGACAATAATGCTCGTCTGGTTAAAATATTTATAAATCTTACATTATTGCTCCTCACTGGACAATAAAAATATTTCACACATATATATTTTCATGTAATGCACATTAGCCATGGCCATTCCATTAAAGACAATTAGCAACTACATACACAGCTGCTGGATTAATACGGTTTTTACGCAGAGGTAGAAGGAAGCAGTCTAGAAAAGTTAATGTTTTGATAGCAGGATACCAGACTGCCAACACACCATGATTCTTTCACAGCACTGCGACCGTACAAGTTACTATGACTTCAACATGGTAAAATTGTGGCCGACTTTGACCAGAAGCAACAAAATGAGTCGAGTAACTTTGCTTACTTGTCGAAGCTGAACTGGGCCATGTCAGCAACAAATCTATTGTCCCCAACGACCTGAGCCATTCTGCCCAAAGCCTCGCCGGCCGCGCAACGCAGGATCGGGTTTGAGCTGGCCAACGCACTCTACAGGCAAAAATATACACATACAATTACTAGTGTCTAATAATATAGTAATACTAGTATAAATTCATTAGGAACATTCATAAAAATGTATGTCCTGAGAATTTGATCTGTTATTATTATGCATACTGCTATACACTGCTTAGCCAATAAAAAAACAGGAAATCCTATCTTGAAGTGGATTTACATTATTTAAGATGCAAGCGTGTGTTGTCAACTTTCATACTGCACTTGTGTTACTTCAATGACATTACCTGCTAATACTATACATCACTGCACACTTTCTCATTTGACGAGAGCCATTTTAAATAACACAAATATTATATGTTTTTTTTTGTAATTTACTAAGTGACCAGTGTAACATTATTTCAAGTGCTGTTATCTGCAGTCATCTGAGAAGGCACCACACATCAAGACAAAACCATGCTTCAGACACTGAAGAACTTTGTTTACTGCACAGCTGTGCTATTCAACAAGACGTCGCACGCGTGGGGTACATATGACAGCATCAGCAGCATCAGCAGCAGCAGCAGCAGCGGCAGCAGCGGCGGCGGCATACCATGATGAGCTGTATGGCTGCCTTCTTCACATCGTCCTGCCCGAGCGACCCCTTCGTCTCGACGAGTCCCTTCATGGCGGCGAGAAATGCCGTAAAGATGTTCATCTGTACAGCCTCCTGCCTCGATGACTTAGCTTGTCTGCGAGCACAAACCAGAATAATTTCACGATGGGAACGTGAGATCAGTATTGTAATGTAATAGCACGAAGACATCTATAAAATGTTATGCCCTACAAAGCTATGGTGAGTTTGCGCCAATGCCAAAGAGAGGGGGAACGTTACTGCATTGGGACTTACGTAGTTAACGCGACATAATGTCGCATACACGGCTCCCACTGCGTATACGTAAAACCTGGATCATGTGAAACCTTTTACACTACAGACAAAGCCCAGCGCTCCGTACTTGGCAACGCGAGAAGTAATGCCCACTGAGAAAAAACCACGCGCGACGAGGCAAACAACGACGTGCGAAGACCGAGGAGCGGCCGACGATAGCGAGAACTCACCGTATGCACTCCATGAAGTGTTCGAGCATCTGCACGCGATGCTTGTTGTGAGTGACGCGCGGGAACACGATGCCGAACAGGTGCATCGACTTGTCGATGACGGCCACGCCCAGCGGGAGCGGTCCTGGCATCGACTCCCCCTGCCACACACACACACAGACACACACACGGCTACTTGTGAGATATTGTGGTCATAGGCTTCCTCTTGGAATGTTGGTTTACAAGACTATCACAATGATGACATGAGTGGTAAGTAGCATTTAAGTAGAGTTTGTAAGTAGTAGTATGTAAGATGAAAAATACATGACGTGGAAATCACCAGCATCAAGTGCAGTTGTAAATTACGGAGAACGTGCTTCAGAATACCCACGAGTAAATTGATATGAGAAACTGCCTGACTGGAGTAATTACTTATCTACAGAGGCATTCACATGGACATTCGGTAATCATTACCTCGGGACACTTTAAGTAGACATAGGACATGTCATGTTCAAGAGCTCCTGATCCTGATGCACTGTTTGGCTGAAGCTAAAATATATATGACACCATCAACATTTACACAGACACTGTGTTACAAATGCTTACTTCATATTAAATTAATTTAATTTAAATTTGACAATCAAGACTAAAGCCTATAGCTGTATATTCGAGATAGGCACAGAAGACCTAGGTGCATATCACCAAAGTGTGTGACTGTGGTGCCGGGACAAGTGATAATATAAGGTAAGGCACTGTAAGGTGCATGGACAAGGTTGCCAACTAATCATTGTTGCACAAGCCATCAACAATCTAACTTGTAGCATCGCCTACGTGCCTACGTTCCTATACTCACCTGGTCCTCGATGGCCTTGTGATCGGTTTCCTGCAGCCACGATCCGAGGATGACGCTGTCGTCATGGTGACACATGCTGCGCAGCATCGACGTCGTCGTGTTCGACGGGTTGTCGGTCAGCGTGAATTCAGCGACGAGTTCCCTCAGCAGCGACGAGTAAGAGCCTGCGAGAGAACACACACAGACCGAGGCGTGAACAACGCAGGACCGCAACCACACGGCACATAGCGACCCGACCTTGGGCTGACCTTGTAGCGACCGTCGAGGAACGTGGTAGCGACCATGTAGGACTAAGCCCGTACGAATGCTGGACTGACCTTGCGTTGACCTTGGACTGACGTTGATTCCGAAAGCGATCGTTGACGGTTCGCTTACCTTCGTATGACTCCGGCGGGATGAGGCTCAGCGTCTGGTAGAGCTTCAGTCTCACCATGGCAGCATTAGCCTTCAGCGGGGCTCCATATGACTTCAGCATGCTCGTGAGACTGCAAGACGCACGCAGACCTTAGACATTCGTCCCATGCACTCAAGACAGCCAGCACTGCTGGTTAAATCACACAAGGGATTCGGAATCAAGGAATCAGGTAAAATAGCGACCACAACAATACAAATAAGCCAAATTGAATGCCATTTAATTAGATGTTCACAAAAAAATACTGAAAGATACAAAGTACTGATGTCCCCTATGTTATCAGCAAGGTTTGTTTGATGAACAACAGTAATCATGGTACCTGGCTAAGTGTTACAGCACGCATTTGCCGCAATGTCTCATATCGCTATTTTCTACATTAGGCACGATGATATCTCATCATCATCCCATCTACCCCTGCATCCTGATGCTGACAACAAATTAACGTACTTGGCTAGCATCACGAGAGCCGCATCCGTGGGAGTGCGCAGCCTCCTTGTCACATCGTCAGTCACTAGCTCCGGGCAGTGCAGCAGGAAACTGTACATCGCTGCGTGATAACAACGACACGGGACATATATAACAACCTCTGTATCGGGATGTACATCATGCAGAAACGCATGCATACAGTCACGCATGAAAAATTACACCTATTTCAGCTTTTAGTCGGTGGAAAATTAATGTTTCAATAGTGCATTAAACTCACTTGCATGTGCAATTAATTCTGTTGGAAATCATAAAACATATATTTTATGCAGAGAATATTTATGAATCCACACATCAATAGTATATACAATATATATATATATATATATTTATTTATTTAATCAACTGAAAGCATATATAAATCCTTATAGCATATGCCATTTACAAACCAATAACTTGTGCGTATAATATACGACGTAGTATTTTCCATATATATATGAATGCATAAAGCTCTTGTGTAGCATGACTTACAAGCGAGCGCTCCTGCGCGTGCCTCTAGAGTGACCTGCCAGGTGA